GTCATCTGCTCCACTGGGATCTGCTTGATGATCACCAGCTTCTGGTCTGCCTTGCGCAGGCACAGGTGCACAATCCTGAAGATACAGAGTATAGCAGTAACAGGTGAGCCGCTAGCCACATATCAGGCTTGGTAGACCTGATAACTGGATGGCAACTAGACTTAAGAGAGGGGAATGGCACCTAGACTAAAGAGGCCATCTACCTAAGTGCACAGAACCCTGAGTTTAGGAATGGGGAGGACAAACCAAACTCTGTGAGACTCAGTTTCACCACAGGCACAATGAGGCAAAGTTAGTCTTCATTTCTCTAAGTTTCCACAGACTCTGAAGTTAGCTTCCTGGGTTCAAATCCTGGCTCCTCTTACTAGTTATCTGGTCTTGGATTATGTGACATTATCATTTGGAAAAAAGAACTGACCTCAGGACTGTCGAGAGGATCAAATAAGAAAATGCATGTAAGGCACTTAGCACAATGCCTGGCACATCAAAAATGCACAATGAGTAGAAGTCATTCATACTATTATTTTCTTCCAAGTCTGTAGTCAGTGTCCATAAAAGCAGGGTTCTTGTTCTTTCTTATTCACTACTATATCCCTAGTGCATAACCTAGTACATACCCCAGCACATAGTAGGAGCTCAATAAGTATCTACTGAATGAATGAACTATAAGATGATCATCTAAGTATCAATTTTATATCTCCAAAGCAGGCCTCTCTTCTGAGGCCAATTCCTATATCCAACTGCCTGTTTTGCATCTCTACCCGAATGGCTCACGAGCATCTTAAATTTTAACAAATTCAAAATAAAACTCTTGATTCCTGTTCCCCAAATCTTCAGTCTCTTCTATCTCAGCAAATAACACCACCATCCTCCAGTTATTAAAATCAGACACCTGAAAATCATGCCAGAATCTTTCCTCCATTTCACACTAATACATCAGTAAATCCTGCTTCTACCTCCAAAATATTGTGAACCCATTTATTTCCGTGTCCTCTGCTATAACTGCTGGCCCAATCATTTCTTGCCTAAAATACTGAAACAGCCTTCAAAAATGGTCCCTTTCACTCTTGTCGCTGTCAAATCTAAGTTCTACATACACAGCAGCCAGAGTGATATTTTAAAAATGGAAATCATATCAAGACTTTATCTTTTGCTTAAACCTCTTCCCTATACACAGCAAATAAATTCAAAACCTTTACCTGAGCCTACAAGACTATAATCTGGTCCCTGCCCTCACATTTTATAGCATTCTTTACCTTGTCCACTACATTCCAATTATACTGGTCTTTTTCTCAGTTCCTTGAATACTCTGAATTTTTTCACACGTGAAGACATATGCCGTTTCCACCACCCGAAAAGCTGTGTCTTCACCGTCAGACTGGTCCTCATGCCTCAAGTCTTAGCTTTAAACTTCACCTCTCAGAAAAATCTTCCTTGACCACCCTAAATAAGTACTTCCCTGGTGTTGTACCCTATTCTCGCAACTTAATAACTGTTTTAACAATGTCTCGTTTGTCGTAAATTTTTCCTATACTATGTAAGCTCCGAGAGCTATTTTGGTCTTAACTGTATACCCAGCGCCAAGATACTGACATGTATAGTTGGCGCTCAATATTTGTTGAAGGAATGAGTCAGGAATCAAAGAAAAGAACTCTGCAGAGGCTCTTAGGCTCGCTGGGGGCGTGACCTCTTTAAGGCGGAGTCTCCTAGCCGGGACTGGGGCCGGAAGCCTGGGCGGGGCTTCCAAGAGTGGACGCCCACGCCGCGGGGCGGGGCTAACCAGGCAGCATTTCTCGGACAGAACTGGGGTTTATCTTCCCTCTCCCGGAGTAGTTTCCCCCCAAGAGCCCTGGCTCACCCGAAGGCACCTCTCCCCACCACTCGGATCCGCTCGTACTTCTCCATCTCATTTCTCAGCCACATTTCCGGAACCCCCACACACCCAGACGTGGCGCGTGCGCGGACCCGCCCACTCTAGAGCCACGCCCCCTACACAGCAAGATAATTGAGGGGCGGGACAACTTAGACCTAGGTGTTGCTAAAGCTTCACATCTCTGATGATTTGCATCGTTCCTGCAACCCCAATCCGGAGGATCCAAGGAAGGAATGGAGTGACATGCCATTTTTTGGCGCACTTCGCAAAGGTCTGCATGGTACCAGTCACTTCCCACAGTAGTGGCCGCTTCCGGCTCTCGCAAAGCTTCCTTAGACCCGAGGGGTGCCCGGCGCAGGCCGAGTGAGGGTGGGGAGCGAAGGCCGACCTCTCTGGGCCCCTCTTTGCCCACTAGTAACGCTGTTTCGGAAAGAGAGCAGATCCTCATTGGCACGCAAACAATAAACACCAAAACCGAACCGAGAGCATCCGAGCTCCCCGTCTGTGAGGCAGGGAGCACGATTAGTTTCGTGTTTGCCTAGGGAGGGACCGGGGAAACCCCGACCTGTGGAAATTGATTCACCTAGGGAGGATGTGACAGGGTCTCCTGGCTGTTCCAACTAGTGAAAACTGTGCTTGTCATCACTCTCAACTCTCAGGTGCACATACAGAGCAATGCAGCAGAGTAATCTGCCTTCAACGCTCAACTATGGAGAACCTCCTTAGGGGCAGATGGGAGAGAAGTGGACCACTATCTGAAAGCATCAAGGAAGAGGAAAGACAGCCCTTTGGCAGATACGGGTTTAAGGCTTCTGCCCAGCGGTAAGGGGCTGGTTAGTACGATTGTTCAGAGTCTTGACCCGAAAAGAGTTTAATTCCAGGTGTCTCCCTGGCACCTCCTGCTCTGCGTGAGTCCATAAAAGCTCAGTTAAGCAGCAAGAAGATAGTGCTTAGATAAGGTACAGCGTCCCTATTTCTGAGTGGGTGAGGCATATGAGGACTGGGATGTTTATCTTCTGCTCCCACCCCTCGAAAGGGTGCCCAAACCTCCCCACTGGAATGACCACTAAAAGGGCCCCAAGAGTCCCCTCAAAGTTCAGGTCGTGTTGGCTGGCGGACAAAGCTGCCCTGTGAGCAAAGGGGAACGCAGAGAGGAAAGCCACTCCCCCAAGAAACTCGTGCTCTCACCAGAAACTGATCGGGTCTTGATTGACACAGGAGTCCCTCAGAGGTTAATGTGTAACCTTGGAGCCATTAGGCGAGGCAGAGCAAACACGCAAACCTATTGGCTCTTGGGTCTCTGGCACTTAAGGTTTCTGGCTTTTCTTCCCTCTCAAAACACTTTTTCTCTCGCCCCCCAACTCCTCCCACCCTCACTTTTCCCATCTCCACCTCTTACTCCCGACTGGCTCTTAGCCGCTCTGTTCGCCATAGTCCGGCTAGCTACCTCTCCCCCAAAAGTAACCACCTTGTTCCTTTGAAGGTGGGAGGGGATCCCACGCCATGGTGAAGACAGGCTGACATCTAGTGGCCACAGCTGCAACTGCTCCAGGCCACTGGCCTGAAGAGTGAGGGTCACTGTAGCTGCCTGGACAAATGAGCCGTCTTCCCCGCTTCAGCTTCCTGGGAGCCGGGCGAAAAGAGGTGGGATTGTCTGAGGGAGGATTGTGACAGCAGCTCGGCCCCAGGAGCCCCTGAGCGGGCTGGAAGGAGGGGTAGTGATGGGTTAGTTAAGTTTCTAGGCACCGGCTCGGTGCGATAGAGGCAGGTAAACACGTCGGTCTCTAGCCAGAAGAAGCTAGTGATCCAATGGAAGAACAGGGTCTGGGCAGAGATCACTGTCCGAGGCGGGGCTCCGACCCGTCCCCAGGACCCAGGTTTAAAGTATGTGGTTGTGTGACGGGTCCTGCCCAGCTTTGCCCAGAAAGGAGTTGAGGGCGGAGAGTTCTCGCAATACCCGCCCAGGCTGGGGAGCCGTTGGCCTCGGGGAAAGTGGGGACGCGGGTTAATGAAGCCAAGCGAGCGAGTCGGGAGGCGCCAGCGAGAGATGCTTCCGCAGGGGCGCCCCAGAACACCCCTTTTTCTCTCGAAGTCTATGGATTCCAGGCGGGGCGCAGGAGACCCCCGCCCCCGGGAAATGGGGATAGCGCCCTCCGCGCTGCAGAGACGCCGGAGGGGCGGGGGCAGGCGGATTGGGCGGGGCGGGGGCGCCAGCGACTAGGGGCGGGGGCAGAGGCCCGCTGGGAGGGGCGGGAGGAGCAAAGGGGCCTAGAGAGCTCTGTGAAAAACTGTGAGGCTGGCGGCCCGCAGGCGAGGCGTCCTGGTTGGACTGGCCCGAAAGGGAGTCCAGTTCCCCGAAGAGGCTGAGGCGGCCGCCTAGAGTTCGGACAGACAGGAAGGGCCAGCATGTCCTTACTGCTGCACCCCGCCCTGCTGCTGCTCCTGGGCGCCACGCTGACCTTCCGGGCGCTCCGGCGCGCGCTCTGTCGCCTGCCTCTGCCCGCACACGTGCGCGCCGACCCCCTGCGTACCTGGCGCTGGCGCAATCTACTCGTCTCCTTCGTCCACTCCATTGTGTCAGGGATCTGGGCGCTGCTGTGGTGAGTGAAGGACCGGGGGAGTGAAGGTGGCTAGGGAATTCTGCCCTTACTCTCCCAGTCACTCACGCGGGGGGGTGGGGGGGGTGGCGCCGAGGCCATGCAGTCTCACGATTCCTTGTCTGGAATGCTAGCCAATCGGGAGCGACAGCGGCCCCAGGGGAAGGGAACCTCACCTGGGAAACGGGAAACACCTGGGTTTCAGCGAGCCCCTAGTCGCTTCCCAGTTAGTCAACAGAGCCAGTCCAGACTCCCCGGTACTGGCAAGGGTAATGGAGTTGAGGGTACTTAGGAAGGGAAAGATGAGCTCCTGCCTTCTTCCCTCCCTTCAAGTATATGGCAGACCCCCGAAATGCTGGTGGACATTGAGATGGCATGGTCGCTTTCTGGCTATCTGCTCGTTTGCTTCTCTACAGGTAAGCCTTGCCCAGTAAGCATTCTGTGGGTGGAATTTCCTGTTCAACCTCTTCATAACCTCTTGCCCCATTCCTCCGCTAGGGTATTTCATCCATGACACTGTGGACATCGTGGTTAGCCACCAGGCTGAGGCATCTTGGGAATACCTCGTCCATCATGTCATGGTGAGAAACATGGGATGTAGTATATAGGCCCAGTGCTAGCAACTTTAGCCCTTTCTGACCCTCAGAAAGGGTAGAACTGTATTTTAACCCAATTTCCACCCTATGTCTTACATCTTCCCATGCTAGGATGCTGAGGATCCTATGTGCCCTTGGTTCACTATTTGAGGCCAGCAATCCATAGCCTCACCTACTACCCTTAAACAGACATTTCCTAATTTGTTTTCTCCCTTGCCCTCTAGGCCCTGGCTGCCTTCTTTTCAGGCATCTTTTGGAACCGTTTTGTAGGTGGGGGTGTCCTAACACTGCTGGTAGAAGTTAGCAACATCTTCCTCACTATCCGCATGATGATGAAGATCAGCAATGCCCAGGATCACCTCCTCTACCGGATCAACAAGTATGTCAACTTGGTTGTGTATTTTTTCTTCCGCCTGGCCCCTCAAGTCTACCTCACCCATTTCTTCCTGCAATATGTGGGCCAGAGGACACTGGGCACCTTTCTGCTGGGTGTCCTGATCATGCTAGACATCATGATTCTCATCTACTTTTCCCGCCTCCTCCGCTCTGACTTCTGCCCTGAACGTGTGCCCAGCCAACAACACAAAGACAAATTCTTGACAGAGTGAGAGGCAGAGCCTGGGACTTGTGGCAAGGACAGCAAACACAATCAAGGAGCAGAGCCTCACATAAACCGAGATGTGGCTTGGCCTCAAACCCGGGGAACTCAACCTTTCCACCTTTCAAGCCTGCACCACTATTGAAAACGCTAATGAAAGCACTCTGAAGTCCTTGTCCTTTCTTGGGCAAGAGGTGAGGGAAGCAGAAAGACCGGTTGGACATGGTAGTTGGGTGTGGGGACAAGGTGGACAAGGTACTACCTGAAAGGCAGGCAACCCACAGTCCTGAAATGGATGCTAATGAAAACTCTGGGTATTGGTTTCATACAAAGCCTCTTCCAGGGACAAAGGAATGGGATTCTTATGAAACTTCTTGTTCTCTTACCCCTATGATGGAAACAAGTTCTAGTGGTCCTGGGACTACTAACCCTAGCCTGGGTCACAAATATCTGCTTTTTGAGCTCCCACTGCCAGGAATGTAACAAATATGATGAAATGATAGTATTGAGTGTTCCAACAAGGTAAGTAGACCTAGAGTCTTGACCAAACTCCATTATTTATTTATAGTGTGTATACATCGCAGTATGACCTCTCCTCCAGCCCCATCAGAAATTGACATAAACATAGTGAAAAATTTTTATATTTAGAATTAGCCAGCTGGACTGAGTTTAGATGATCCCAATCTGAAAAACAAAAGGGAGCTTTGTTACTGAGAGTTGAAGATTAAGCTGGAATGTCACGGTTTAAAAGCAAAATGTGGGCACAGGGTAGGACCTACTAAGGATAGGGGTGCAGTGCAGTCAGTCAGTTAAGACTAGTCAGCAAAAATCAGGCTTTGGTCAAAAACAGACTCATCATTTGCACCCAGGGATGAGTATTAAGGAGTTCATAGCAAAAGCAGCTTACTTTGTTGGCAACATCCAAAGCATCATAGTCGGGAGCCAGCCGAACATATGCCTTCTTCTCTCCATCAGGCCTAGGGTGGAAAAGAAAGGCTTAATCACTGCCGCCCTCATTGCTCCCATACTGTCCCCCAATCTTCTGGCACATCAGTGGTTCCTTTGTTCATGTCATTCTTTTCTAAAGAGTTATTTTTCCATCATCTGTGCAGAGGAGGATAAGGAAGCCACTAAGCTACTAAGCCAATTCTTTTTTACGGGAAGCACCACAGAACATTTAAATCCAGGTAATCTGACATAAATTGTATCTTACTCTAGTGCCTGCCTCTGTCTAGCGGTAGGGATCAAGAAAATGAGTGCCAACCCCTTAAATCAAAGCCTAGAGGCAGGACAGCTATTGAGTCTTCCAAAGTCTATAATTTCTCAAGAATTGCACACTGTGAAACCTATTTCTGACCCCCAAAGCAGTATCCAGGAATTTTAAGCCATTCAAGTTTCCTGGATCTTGAGTGAGGCCCTAGCCATCCCATGGGGCCCCACTTACCTGATCAGGGTGTTGACTTTGGCCACGTCAATGTCATAGAGCTTCTTCACAGCCTGTTTGATCTGGTGCTTATTGGCCTTGACATCCACAATAAACACAAGTGTATTGTTGTCTTCTATCTTCTTCATGGCTGACTCAGTAGTCAGGGGGAATTTGATGATAGCATAGTGGTCAAGCCTGGAGGAAGTAAAATGGGGTCACCTGGCCTGAGCCGAATAGAATGACAGGCCCTCTTTTGGAGCCCAGGTGCATCAGACAATGAGGTAGCAATCATTTTTGTCAGACTTTGGTCGCTAAACAGTGTCATCATCTGCACCCTGAAACCCATGGGCCTGGAGCCTCAGCCCGAGCGCGAAACCATGTGTACTTTCTTCCACTTGAAGGGCTTTCATCCTTTAAGTGATTAAAGAATCATCTTTGAGTTCCAGACCCCTTTCATTCTTTGACCTCGACATTTCTAGAGGGCAAATTTCTGGATAAAATTTGAGACTTGAAGAGTTTAAGCAACTTATCCCAAGAATATAAAGCTAGACTATAGCATCTTGAAACCCAAGTTAGGGTTCTAAAGAATACTGGTACTTCCTTGAGGCTGCATAGACCATTTCTGCCCCCTTTAGTTGGTGAAAACTGGCTTGAGGGCCATCAAGTCTACAGAGCAAGTTTTTATTTACAGCTTAAGTTAAACTTACAGTGGCTTGAACATACCTAAACACAGCTTTCCCCCTGAAATTCAGAGAAGCAAGGGTCTATTCACAGACACTACCTTCCCATTCTGAAGCTCAAGGTCAGGCCTCAACCTCTCATTACACTAAATTCTAGATCCAAATGGTAAAGTCTGTCCACAGACACAAACCACTCTCCTGTCTTTTACTTAGGAAGCAGTAAGGGTAGCAGAAACCTATTGATAGCAACTACTACCATGACTCTACTCTCACCTGTGGTCCCTAAGGTCAGTTATAAGCAGCATGATGCCAAAACGTTCAATAACTCTTTTTACCCATTTCCCCCTACCCATTACCTGAGTGTAAAAATTGAGTGAATGAAGCTTCCATATACTGTTGCAAGCCTTTACTGGCCAGTACAGATGAATGTATCTCCTTAATCAACCTAGAATGATCCCATAGCCTCACCCTCAAAGACTACTCCCTACAGCAACAGGTGCTATGAAGAACAAACTAAACTTGAGACTCCGAAACAAAAAATATTTAAGTCCTACTTTATACTCTTAAGAAAGTGTACTTTAAAACTAACAACATATAAAGTGATAATTAATCTAACAACCTTAGCGGTAACTCTAGGTTGTTTTAAACAATTCTTGCCCATATTGCAAAAATGTCTTATCTTGTTCTTATTAAATACAGCATTAACAATCTCACACCCCCACTAGAGAAGCATATTAAGTATCAACATGTTTTTAAGAAACCATGTTCCAAGTTTGGTAAATTTAGTAACTGCCAACGAAGGACACCAAAACATCTTTTCATTGGTATAGGGGAGTACTGACTTGTTTCTCCGGTGCGCTCTTGCCCTCTTCCGAGGATATTTGGGTTGTCTTCGGAGCCGTAGTGTCTTGGGCCGTCGGAAGGTGGGTGATGTGCGTATCTTCTTTTTTTTGTGGCTGTGGACGCCTTTGAGCACTGCTTTCTTTGCCTTCAAAGCCTTTGCTTTGGCTTCGGCTTTAGGAGGGGCAGGGGCTGAGAGAAGAAAATGAGGGTGCGGGATTCAGAAATCGATCACTTCCGGCCTTAAAACCGGTAGTGGGCGCCCCACGCCATTTGTGCATCAGCGGTTCCTTTGAAGACATCACGTCTCAGGTGTTTAAAATTTTTCCATCATATGCACGATATTGGGGCAAACTTGGAGTAACGCTAGGATACGACATAGAAAAAGGTAACTAACAGTGATCGAAAGCTTGATATTTGCTAGGATGTGTGCTAGTTTCATATATGCCATCGCACAGCCATCCTGGGAGAGTATATAGCTCCTTCTAACACTGGGGATAAAAAAAAAAGTTAAGGGCCCTGATTCCTTAGTTTTGGAGACATGTAGTTCAGGCCTGTGGATGCGTGTAGCTCCCAGAGCGAACTATGTCAGCTTGCCTCCCCAACCCCCCTCACTAAAACCCAGCCTGTGCGGCTAGGCCCACGCGTGCCGCAGCGTGGCCAGAGCGCCGGGAGCAGCTCCGGAACAGACACCCTATGTCTCAGCCCAGCCATAGTCCTTTCAGTTCGTTCACTCTGCAGGGACCCCAGGCCAGTCAGCTGTGGCTCCCCTAACCCTAGCCCCAGCCCCAGCCCGAGCACACACCTTCCTTCTTCGCTTTCGGCGCCATCTTTGTGAAAAGAGTTCCCCAGACCCATTCCCATGGGCTTATAGAACCAAGTCTCACCGAAGACTCGCGATGTCTCTTACTTAAAGTTGATTGGGTAATGTGTATCGCGGTGCCCGCCGGGAATGGTAGTTAAATTTTGTGTCCTCGTGAGGGATTACGCATGCGCCATTCCTTCCTTCGTTAAAAAAACACTAAAGACTCTTGGGGGTTGTAGTTTTTGGAGTCATCAGTTTATGCGGTGTCGGACAAATGGTGTAGCAGGCGGCCGCTTGGTTCTCATTCTGAGCGTTTCCCATCTTGAGCAACTTCAGGGAAGAAGATTACGTTCACAGGAGACAGTAACACTGCAAACTGGAATGAATATAGTTAGACTGACTCAGGGAAAATGAAGCTAAGTTCTAGAACAATAGAGTAGAATTCGTCGGGCCCAACTTCCTAGACAACACCTGGAAAAGGAAACAAGGAAAGTATCAGCAAGTAGAAGGTGGCCACATCTCCTCCCCTCTTTACCTGTGATAGATTTCATGCGTTTCCCCGATAATACTCTTGAAGAAACTCTACCAGTATTCCAAACACCCAGCGCACAGATTTGTCCAGCATTCGCTAGTTCTTGTCAATTCCATTCACAGTCCCCTCTAAGTAGTGTTCTCTTCCCTGCCCAAGTCATCTTTGCATACTCAGATTCAGTTCCGGACACAGAGCAAGGTTAACACTGGTTTACTTCTCTGAGGGTCTCTGTCTACCCCCACATCCACCCCGCCCTTTCTAACCTACCTCTTGCCTCTTGGAACCATATTTCCCCTTTGACGGTGAGATTTGTTGTGTGCTACCCCTTCTTCCATCCTGCAGAACTACAAAATGTAAAAGTCCTTGGGAAGATTCCAAAGGAGTTAGAGCGAAGAACGCCCATACCAGAGGGGAGTCCTCATGTTCTGGAGCAGTGAGCTCCGTAGAGGGCGGAGTTCCCAGTCCATCTGGCCCTCCTTTACCCTCCATCGAGGGAGGTGGTTTAGTCTTCAGCTTCCCCATCCCTCAATCAACACCATAGCCTTCGAGAAAAAGACGCTAGATCTCGGACGTCTCTCTCTATGGTGGGCATACAGCCCGGCCTCTGGCACTCCCTCTCCGTTTCCCCCCAACACCTCCCAGGACAGAAGGGCGAGTGGGGGCAGACTCTATGAGTCATGTTCTGGGCCTGGAGTTGAGAAGGGAAGCGCCGCCTCTCCTTGGGCCCCTTCTCTCCCCCTTATTCCTCCCCGCGGATCCTGGCCCAGCTAGAAACTACGCAGCAATCACCGATTCCCCATCACCAATTCGGCTGGGTAAGGGTCCCCGTGGAGGCGCAGCCCAGCACAGAGATGCAGGGCAGAGCAACCTGAGGGATCCGGATCAGGAGGTTCCAGCATGAGTGGGGGCAGTACTGGTGCCCGTCGGGCGGGGGAGACTGAGCTGGGGCATTGCTGGGAGGAGGAGAGTAGGGGGAGGCCGAGCGGGCTGCGAGGCCGGGAGCTGCCAGGAGGCTCTCTGCAGCGGACAGGGCCCCTCGCCCCCTCTTCCCGCAGCTCGCGGGCCTCGCAGCGCGCTCCCTGCCCACACTGACCCCGTGCGGCGGGGCTGCTCCGCGCCCCGGGGCCACTCTGTTATGGTGGGGCCGCCTCAACCCCGAGTTGTCGTCGGGTCTCCGCGGCCTCGAGTTATTGTAGGAACTATCCGGCCCCGAGTTATTGTAGGGTCTGCGCGGGCTCGCCCCCTCTTCCCGCAGCTCGCGGGCCTCGCAGCGCGCTCCCTGCCCACACTGACCCCGTGCGGCGGGGCTGCTCCGCGCCCCGGGGCCACTCTGTTATGGTGGGGCCGCCTCAACCCCGAGTTGTCGTCGGGTCTCCGCGGCCTCGAGTTATTGTAGGAACTATCCGGCCCCGAGTTATTGTAGGGTCTGCGCGGGCCCGGGAACCCCGAGACGGAACTCCCCGCCCACATTTGGCGACCGAGGGGCCTCCCCGCCCCCGAGTCATCTTCGGGACTCCCCGTGCCCGGGTGATTGTGGGTTCGCCCCGGCCCCAGGTGATTGTCTCATCCCCGTGGCCCGCGGTGGTCGTAGCGTCCCCAAGGCCCCGGGCTCCCGTAGGCTCTCCGTGGCCCCGAGTTATAGTCGGGACACCTAGGTCGCGTGTGATTGTCGGGTCTGCACGGGCTCGGGTCGCTGGGGCGGATCAGGCCTCCGCGCCTTCTCTGGGTGCCCCGCAAGGCCGCAGACAAGATGAACATTCTGGCGCCGGTGCGGAGGGACCGCGTCCTGGCGGAGCTGCCCCAGGTAGGCGCCAGGGCCACGTCGGGCTTCTGGCTGCGGTGGAGTATGGGCGGAGAGGAGGCGGCACCAGACCGGTTAGAGGCTTGGGCCCAGCCCTGCGGCCGAGCTAGGCCTGCTGCTTCTGAGTGGTCCTCTCCCCACCCCCAGCCCTGGGGTCTTAGCTGCGGGACAAGGGCCAGGAGTGGGTAAGTTCCATTCTCTTACAACCCTGTCAGTGCCTGAGGAAGGAGGCCGCTTTGCACGTGCTCAAAGATTTCCACCCCCGCGTCACCTGCGCCTGCCAGGAACACCGGACAGGCACCGTGGGGTGAGTTGGAGACACCCAAAACAAAGAAAGGAAGTCTCAGGAGATTCTGTAGTCAAAGCAAGGGTAATGTCCAACCCCTTGTGGCTCCATTGCGGCCTCTACCAGCTATATGGTTAGTCCCCCTTTTTTATGCCCTTGTGTTAACCGACTCCTTTATTCCCAGCAAAGTTTTGGTGTGTCCTATGAAATAGGGTTAGGTAGAAAGGTGGTAGTTCAGTTTCTGACACAGAGAAGGTATGCAGCATGAAGGGGTGGTCACCAGCTCAGCTTTCCACATACCATCCATTTGAGCCCCGGGGGAAGGGAGGGGAGGACGCTGTACCTGCACTGATGTGTCCCATGGCGGGGAAGAATACTAATAACAGTTACTAATGGCAGTTGCCACCATTAAGGGAGCATTTACTATGTGCCAGGTAGTGTGTTGGATACTGTTGTTATTATCTTATTAAATGGAAAACACCATTACTTTTAAGCTGTATCCTGATTTCGGAAATGTTAAAATGTGGGGGGGCGGGGGAATTTGTTTCAGAATATTGAACGTTAGCTCATTTTAACCTTCATAACAACCCCATAAAATATATTCTAAATCTCCACTTAATAAATATTGAAATTGAGACAAAGAGCCTAAATAACATTCTAAGTCACACAGCTAGTAAGTGTGAGAGCTAAGATTCAAATTCTTGTCTCTGATACTGAAGCACAAAACGCTCCTTGCCAGCACATCTGTCCAGGCAAGTTACCTAGGAGGCCTGCTGTTTATGGTGCAGCTACCTCGTGAACCTACTAGGGAACATTGGGACTCCCTAGAGTGAAAGAGCTTGTACCTATTCCTCCTGCCCCATCTTACGTCCAGCAGATTTAAGATCTCCAAGGTCATCGTGGTGGGGGACCTGTCAGTGGGGAAGACTTGTCTCATAAATAGGTAAGAGGGTGCTAGAGCTGAGCTGGGTTGGGCTGGACGGGGTGGCTCAGGACTAGCCAGGTGGGTTGGGCTCAGGGACAAAGCATCTGGTGCTTCCTCAGGTTCTGTAAAGATACCTTCGATAAGAATTACAAGGCCACCATTGGCGTGGACTTTGAGATGGAACGATTTGAGGTGTTGGGCATCCCCTTCAGTCTGCAGCTGTAAGTGCTTCCTCCACCCCTTCTAGCCATTTCTCCAGCACCTACACCCCACCTATCCAACACCCCCATACCTGTGTTTTACCCCTCCTTCCTCCCAGCTGGGATACTGCTGGACAGGAGAGGTTCAAATGCATTGCATCAACCTACTATCGAGGAGCTCAAGGTAAGGGTTTAGGTGAAATGGTGTAAGTGAGTACGCCTGGTCTCGTAATCTAGGGCTGGGGGGATTATGTAAATGAGCCACTCGTATCTTCCCTGTCAACCTGGGACTATTTCTGCCCCTCTTGTAGCCATCATTATTGTATTCAACCTGAATGATGTGGCCTCCCTGGAACACACCAAGTATGTGGGGATGCTGAAATA